AGGTCTAAGTACCCGCATCATGGAAGGCAAACATTGAGCAGCCACCAGGGATCGGATATATGTTTCTTTTCAAATATCAGTCAGTGGTACGCTGTATGATAGGAAATATCGATTTCTAAAAGGACATGAGAAAGATGTACCCTATTTCTAAGCCTCCCACGCTATTCCAATAGGAGTTATTTTTTGCGTTATTTTTGCTACAGGGCACTTTCGTGCATTGCCTATTGGTTCAAGACCATGGTGTGATTGCTAGTTTTGTCATACGACCAGCAAGGAGACGCTAATTTAGTGATTATCCCGCAGAACAGTAAGTGACCTTTATGTGGATACTTATCTCCATCTCTCATCCATAGCGTCGTATCACTTATAGGCGTGTCTGAACACATGTCCTTATGTAAGCTGTATCCTATGCAGAATAGACCTGCGCCTTTACAAGTAAGCCGTGGGGCACCCTTGTCGCCGGCACATACATTCGTGATGTATGCGCTGGCATCTCCCTATGATCCACGCCCAGACGAGCTGTGCCCACAAGACGGATGGCGGGCTTAGCGCTGTCTGCAGAGCATGACAGCCCCGGAGACTGGACCTAAAATACCAGCATGAGCCTCTAAGAGGGATTGTCGTGTCTCATCGTCTCATTGGAAGCGATTTGGGGGTTAGCTGGTCAGATGCTGTTTGGGGTATTTTAGCCAAGCAACTTAATTTTGTAGGCAAAAATATTATAGCAAGATTTATTCTAAGGACGGTGCACTGTATTATCGAGGTACTGCGATCAGATCAGACCCGGTCGTCTGCCCCTTTGTCTGCAGCTGTTCAGTTCGCTCGTTACTGAACGACAGGCTGTGACAGCTCCCTGTGTGACTAATTGGTGCGTCTGGTGATCAGCTTAGCGGCAAAGCGTCAAATCCAGACACTTTGCGGAGCAGAAATGAGATGGCGCCGTTGATAACCTCAGAGCAAAGCGTTATTCTGTCCCTGGAGAATCCCTGCTCTTTTATTTTTTCCTGTGTGACTTACTCACCCAGTTGCGTCATGCCATCAGCCATGTATGTCATTAATAAGTACTGTGTAATCTGGTGAAAATTTTTCACCAAATGTGATACTTAAAGGCCAGCATGTTGCAGTTCAAGAACCTTTCTGTCTCGAAGCAGCTTTGCTCTTGCGTTAAGAGCAAAGTTTTGTATATGAAAGGTTAAAGCCTCCATAACTCTGACAACAAAAGCCTAACTTGTGGGCTTACGGCGACGTCATTCAGCCTGAACTGCCTTTGATCCGTTCTTCTTTGATCCGTTTTGTATAAGTCATGGTGTGTAGTTATATCGACTGACTGCACAGACTGCCTCACTTCACCACAGGGTGAAGACAGGAAAAAGGACGGAGCCTTGACCCTCACTAAACCGATCAGTCTTCTGAGTTCTGCGTGTGTTTTTCAGTCATCCGAGGGAGTGAAGTCAAAACGAAGAAGTTTTTGTGTTACCACAGTCAGATCTGCCCCTCGGCCCTCTTTGACTCAGATGCTCACAGGCAGCTGATATTCAGCACCGTAGTGTTTGTCCTGACTTCCTTGCCCAGTTGCCTGAGAGTTGTACAGAAACACCGATTATTTCGAATGAACTAAATGACGTCAAAAAATGACTTCGCATCTAATTTGACAATGCGAAAACGCGAGCACCCGTTCATCTAAGGAACGCATGCTCGCAAGAACTTAAAAGTGTAGAAATTAGAATCGCGTCCTCCGGTAACCTTTTTCTTTTTCGTATTCATTTAGTTTAAGTGGCTGAATGGGTGGCTAAAGGCAGTTGCCGATAACTTTGTCCCGAGAAGCAGTTTGTTGAAATCCTCAAAACATCTAGCCCAGACTCGACACCTCAGCTGGTTACAGACAGCGTACCTACGTGCCCCGGATACCGGCCCAGTTACATCTAATCTCCCCGGGTCCTGCCTGTGAATCCCCGCCCGCTGCCAGTGACATCTGAGGTCCGGCTGCTCCTGCGCGAAGCCGCGGAAGTAGGTATGCTCTGCCGGCGGCCGAGGGAATGGCACAGCTGCCTCATCACCGAACATCAAAGCCTCCGCGGCGGGCCCGTAGACCGGCGGTCGGCGCTCATTAGGGCCGGGCTGTAGATTACTCGGTGGTGATAGCGGTAGTGGTGGTGGTGGTGGTGATGGTGATGGTGCTGGTGCTGGTGCTGGTGCTGGTGGGGGGGGGGGACTGTGATGATTGTAGAAGTGATGGCGGTAGTAGAGACTGCAAACTTCGTTGGGACTTGGTATGGTGTACCGCAGCGCATCCATGTTCGGCGGGCTAGTCTACCCTCCAGTCGCTCGCTCCGCCATCGCGCCTGCTGCTGCCGCGCGCTGTAACCAATGAACCAATGAACCAATAACCCATAATGGTTACAGCGCGTTCGGTACACCTATCCTGGTCTTCGAGCAATTGAAAAATGACAACGTAAGTCATGCTTTTAATTATGGTTGTTATAAAGCTCCGTTCTATAGGCACAATCGCTGATTCATTTTGCATTGTTTCGGCTATTGTAGGCATTGGCCGATTACTGGCAGCTGACTGTCTGGCCAATGTTTGTTGAGAAACCACTCTGGAATCTTGCTACATGCTCATACAAGCGGGGAATTGTGTATTCAGCATGAAGGGGTGTGTGGTCAACATTTGAAGATAAATGTGAGCTTGGTATTGCGAAAGACGACAGATGAAAGCAAAGTGATTTTAGAGGAAGAGAGAGAGAGAGAGAGAGAGAGAGAGAGAGAGAGAGAGAGAGAGAGAGAGAGAGAGAGAGGAGAGAGAGAGAGGAGAGAGAGAGAGAGAGAAAAAGAAAGAGAGAGAGAGAGAGGTGAGGAAGAGGAAGAGGGGAGGAGGTGTTTGGACGAGAGTGATATCTCAATATGCCGATAAAGCATAGGTATGTAAAAAACTTGATAGCAACTTTCTGGATATTTACATCTTTTTTGAATGTTTTCAATTAGAAACATTGAAAGCAGATCGTGAGTATTGAATCCCTTGGCTTACCTATAGAGGAATATTGTAGTTGTACATTCTGCCTAATACGTTATCTGCTTATGTATATTGTGCATATGTTTGCAAAGTTTTACTCGTCTTCAGAAGGTCTAAAGTGGAGGTAAAAAAAACACACACTCACATTTACGAATTGTATTGCAAAAATTGCAGACAGGAGGATATCAGAAATAGTATGCAGTGCTCTACATATATCAGGAGGATATCATTGCTCATCGAGCACAGGTTCTTGTCATCTGTCTGGACCGCTCCCCGGAGAATGTTCACGAAATTAGCCGGCATGTTTAATCTCGGACAAGTGCACACACTCTGTTCCTTCCAAACATCCGTCTTGAGAGGGAAGCTGTACTATAGCGTCAAGCGTTCATTCAGCCGTGACAGAGGCTGAATCCATTGTGTACATGTTAAACAGTGAATAGCTTCTCTTCATTGGGCTACATTTAATGTCAGTCATTGAGTGCAGTTAATTGGTTGAGTAATGAGTAAGCATGCAGCTGAGAGTGAGTGGGTGTGACCTCATAGCAACAAATTAGCTCATAAGATTTTTCACTTATTGTCTGAACCACATAGCTTTCTGTTCTTGTATTTTTGAGATGTCACTTATGACTCTAAACATAATGCGGTAAGTACAACGGGGATAATGAGTGTTGTCTCAATAGCATGAAATATGTACGGATCTTTTGACAGAAAAACATCATTGCAATTTATTGACTATGGCAATGCGTGCTATTTATGGATGATGGAAGTGGACAGTGGACACCTTTATAAAAAAAGAACTAACAACTAAGCTACCTACAAAAAAAACATCAGATCAGATCACTCAACTATTCATCACCCTGATCCCGTGCAGTTCTGTATAAATCTGTATAATACGTCTGTATAAATCTATATAAATTGCTCTGTCTGTGTTCATCAGCCATGGACTGTGGCGAAAAAATGAACGCCCTTGCCAGCGGTCCACGGTGTTCTGTCTTTCTTCCTCCGAACCAGCCGTCAAGCTTCAGCTGTAGCGCGTCACGACCGATGAGACCATCGCCGCGGGTCGGCTTGGAATATAACCGAACACAGCTTCTGCTCGGCTCATTGCCTCGTCGTTTCAATGAGGCCGAACGTCGAGTTCACGGAACTTCGAAGTCAGACAGCTGCCGGATTAGATCAATGAGATGTATTTCATCTGACCCCGGTGTTTTATTCGGGAATAGTATTTTTTATGTAAGAGTCTTTTGTGATGCAAAAATAATTAAACGTTTGAATGTAATTGTACGGTGATCTTTGATATTATAAATAAACATCGATGTTGGCGATGTGAGTTTTGACAAGAACTAGGCCCTTGCCAATTTGCTCATTTAATGGCACGACACATAATGTATCTTCACATATCAATTGCGTGAGAAAGCCTCATCCTGCCTCAATTCCACACAGGATTTTATTTCATCATAAGTTTACCGCTATTTAGGGGAGCGTTTCTGGCCATCCATATCCAGTTTTACTATTGTCTTCCTTTTCCTCGGCGGCTCGAAGCGCAGAGATGGAGAGGGAAACGAGTGGAAAGTTCAGAAGAGAGAGAGAGAGAGAGAGAGAGAGAGAGAGAGAGAGAGAGAGAGAGAGAGAGAGAGAGAGAGAGAGAGAGAGAGAGAGAGAGAGAGAGAGAGAGAGAGAGAGAGAGAAAGAGAGAGAGAGAGAGAGAGAGAGAGAGAGAGAGAGAGAGAGAGAGAGAGAGAAAGAGAGAGAAAGAGAAAGAGAAAGAGAGAGAGAGAGAGAGAGAGAGAGAGAGAGAGAGAGAGAGAGAAAGAGAGAGAGAGAGAGAGAGAGAGAGAGAGAGAGAGAGAGAGAGAGAGAGAGAGAGAGAGAGAGAGAGAGAGAGAGAGAGAGAGAGAGAGAGAGAGAGAGAGAGAGAGAGAGACTCTATCTAAAACTCACCCGCTGACCCCTGTGTGTGACCCCGCTGACCCGACCCGTCTCCCGGCAGCACAACGACCCAGTGTGCGGCATTGATGGCGTCACATATGCCAACGAGTGTGAGATGAAGGTGGCGGCCTGCAATAAGCAGCAGTTCGTCACGGCCGCCTACAAAGGAGACTGCGGTAGGTCACCGGGGACACCGGAGAGAACGGGGGGAGCAGGGAAAGGAGTAGCGTGGAGAACGCAGCGTGGAGAGAGTAGCGTGAAGGAAATAGGTTTGAAGCTTCATGGGTAAGTCAATGGGTAAATCTACCTTTTCTAGATGGTGAATTAGAAGTCTAAGAAAAGTTTAGGTGCAGTCGATAGAGGCGGGAGACGACAAGAATATTAACCCGCGCCCTGCTGGGGGGGGGTGTTTGAACACCCCCCCCCCCTTGTGGTTTTTCGCGAATATCTCAAAAACGGCGGCGCGGAGCGCCGCCGTTTTTGGTACACCTTATCGTACATCAATTCTACACATGTTGTGAAAATTTCAGACGAAGGTCATTCAAGGTCAGGTCACCAGGTCACTTGAAGTGACCTCACCTCATAAAAAGTTTCAATGTCTGTCATAGCTACACCGAGTGACCGATCGCTTTGAAACTTTCAGCGATTGCTAAGAGCAATAGCATGTACAAAATGTATATCTCAGAATTTTGATATCGATGACCTAAGGTCAGGCCAATTTTGCGACCTCCCCATTATAAGTCAATGGGAGAAAATTGAAATGCGCCTCTTTTGGACAAAAGACATTATAAACACTCCCAAACACCGAATTACAAGTGGTTCAGACACACTGAACATGAAAATGGTGTCAGTGACCCTTGTTTATGCCCTGAGGTCATCTTAGGTCACGAATGGTATCTAACAGTTTTTCGCAAATAACTTTTGATAGAGGCATGCTAGAGCGATGAAAACGCCTTAGATGTGTTCAGCTTGACGATACGGATCGACTGATATGCAACATGACCCTTTCCGGTCAGGTCATGACCTTGACCTGAGGTCAAATTTTCAAGTTGACCTTTCAAGGTCAACTTATAGTTCATTCGATGCGTCTTGACGAGAGGAACACAATGCCGGTAAAAGTAAGCTCGTACAAGGCTTGAGTCAAAAGTTATTGCATAAAAACTGTTTCCGAAAAAATCGGCTATTTTTGCAATTTTTGCCCCCTGCAGGCAAAACCGTTGACGTTAGGTCAAATCTGAGAGGATTACTCAGAAAGGGCTTTAATAGGGCTATCGAATGCTCTTTTCCGCGGCGCTGTAACTCTATTGGTTTTCGAGTTATGCATTGGCTTCTTGGAAATTTTCGACATTCGACCTGGAAATCGGCGAAATTTTGCCTTCAATGACCTCTGGTGACCTGACCTTTGACCTGACCAAAAAATTGACCGAAGTGATTTCGTCATTATTTTTGACGCTCTTTCGAACGCCGCCTTCCGCGTATCGCTACGTGGCCCAGGAGCCGAGTTACAAGGGGGGGGGGTGTTCAAACACCCCCCCAGCAGGGCGTGGAAATCCAGGACCCCCAGCCGGGCGCGGGTTAACTGAAACATTGCAAATGCGTAGTCTAAGAAGAGTATGCGAATTCATTTGACTGTTTGAGAAATGGTAGAGTAGTAGAATTGGCGTTACTATGGAATACGAAATGAATTATTCATTTTTCGCGAACACTGCACCGCCCACTATGACGATATTGATAAATAAACTAAAACGGAATGCAGGCGAACTCGCATCTGAAAACAGTTTCATCTCATCTGTTGTTTTGATGCAAATGTAAAGTAAACTTCGCCCGTAATCTAAACAAGGGAGCCTCGGCCGGGTGCTTCAAAGCGTCTTTCATCTACCAGAAACTCTTGGAGGAGTTTGCAAAAGAATATTAGGGTAAAAGAGGATGCATCAATACATTTCCCCGGTGACTATTTCGTCGCGAAATACCACCACAACATGCATCTATAATGTCACTGTAATGCCACTGTAACGCCACCTTACCACCGCCCAAATAACTACTCAGCCCACATCCAAATGTCGCCACTTGCACGCTCGCCCATCTGTACAGGTGTCCAAAGACGACACCACGCCTCTGTTAAGGCTGAAACAGACTCTTTCCGCGTTCAGGAAATCGCATGCGAGAGCCTATTCAAATACATTAGTTTCCTCTCGCATCGATCGCACGCATCTCTCGCACTACCCGCATCAGGAAATCGTATCTCCCTGACAGTCTTCCCGCGTCGTCCTGACGCCTCGCTCGCATCGCCCGCATCACCCGCAAGCATCGCCCGCACCTCTCGCTCGCATCGCCCGCAGCGACATCTTTTCGGGATGCGAGAGAGTTGAAATTCAGTCAACTTTTCCGTGCGGGCGATGCGATTTTGCAGAGGGCAGCACGTCCGCCATCTTGGAATGTAAACAAACTTGACCTTGGCAATTTACATTGGTGGATGCGATTGATGCTAGTGCGTATTTTCCATGTCTTAGGGTCTGATTAGCACTTAATTGGGCGTAGGTTAATGCTATTTTCTAAAGATATTCGTAATTCTATAAATTTAGCCGTTATTCGTGCGTCAACATCTGCAAAATGATTGAAAGAAGATCTGCCTGACGGAATCAAGAACCAGCTACCTACCTCCTCAACCTAGCCAAAAGTAGGTAAGTACCAAAGTAACCCTAGCTATTGATTATCTTCGTGATTAATAAAGATAATAATCACTTGATCTTTTTGATTGCAGGATGAAGTTTCCGTTGTTTTTAGCTACACTAAACTTCAGGAAAATCGCTAGTGCTAACCGTTGCTGGCCTACTTGAAATAGATAAAAAACACCTTCTAGAAAGGGTTTTGCATAGCCTTTGCTGCCTTTTGCGATAAATTCCGCCAAAATGATAATAGAATTGGTCTCAAATTAAGCCATGATTGCACATTAAAGAGCTCTCTTAGTCTCTTGAATCAAAGGCAGGAAACTCATTTCATGTAGGAAGATACGGAGACAATTGACATGAAAACCGGGCTTCTGTCAAAAGAATGGGACGGGTGCTGAATCTATATTCTATGTCCATCTTCCACCTGCTCCTTCTGGCTTCTTCCCATCCCCTTCTCCCCAAGGTCAGCACCATTTCTTTGTTTTTCTGTCCCCTCTTTCCTCTTTTTGTTTTTTTTTTCTCTGATAGCCGTAACAATATTTTCTTTCTTAATCTCATTAGTTTATGAGTTATTAATACGATTTTTCAGAACGAACATTGTTTCTATTACCGACAAACCTTTCAGATCATGCTGATTGCTGCCTATACTCAAACGCACTTTACCGTGAATGCCATTTCATTGGCGAGTGACCAAACTTTGCTTGATTGGGCAATGGTCTATACTGTCTAGCTAGGTACTTATTCGTGATCTTATCAACCTGTGGGTTTCCATTGTTCCAGCACGTTCCAGCACTCGGATCAGCCCACAACAGCCCGACTGTCACCACACCGCCAGTTCCGGACGAGTCGGTGGCCGGTGGTGACTGCCCAGTGCCCACGACCCACGTTACTCAGGGACTAACGAGTAGAGAAGCATCCTGGAATCGGAGGGAGGGGCAGTATTCCGCTGGCGATGCTTCTACGACTGACCCCACGGGGAACGACCAGACTACCTTGACAACCGTCAACGCAGACAACGCGAACATCACTACTAGACGCACCTCCTTCATCCAAGCAAACATCACCAGCCTAGCAGCAGCCGAGCCGAGCCGGTGCTCGGCGCCAACCGCGCCGTGCCCGGGGATCTGTGGACACCCACCCCTTCTAGCTCGGCTCTTGGGTAGCATAGGGATATGTGGTTAGTGGCTTTCAAAGGAGCGTCTAAAACCAAGACGATAATATATCGGTCATTTTTTAAAGTCAAGTCGAAGTTCAGGTCACCAGAGGTTATCAAAGGTAAAATGTTGCATATTTCGACATTTTCGAAACACCGGTGCAAAACTTGGGAACCAAGAGAACTTCAGCGCAACGGAAAAGCGCATTCGATCATAGCCATTTTGACATTGTTTTGTGATAAGCTCTCAAATTTGACGCAGGATCAAGGATTTAGATCATAGAGGACAAATCTTGACTTAGCCGTTTTAAGGAAAAACCATTTTCTGTAACTTCTCCTGACTCGATAAAATTTGTAATGACAGCATCGCACTCCTCTCGTCGAGACGCGTCGAATCAACTGTAATTTGACCTCAGGTAAAGGTCATAACCTAACCGGAAGAGGTCATCATCTGACAGCTCATGACATTGAACTGAGGCCAACTTTTCAAAATGACACTTCTCGTCGAGAGGAATCGAGTTAAAAATGTTTAAAGCTATTTTAAGAGTTCTGGCCTCTGTAGGCTAAGCTAATGATCGGAAGTTGACCTTGGTCATTACCGCATACCGGAGCAAGCGCTGAAGCCTGAAAGGGCTATCAAATAGGCAGTGCGCTTTTCCATCGTGCTGTAGCTCTATTGGTTTCGGAGTGATGCGTTGTTTTCTAATGTTGAAATAGGCAACATTTTATCTTTGATGACCTCTCGTGACCCCGGTTGATCTAGTTAACCTAAAAAATGGCTGCAATGACTTCGTCATGATTTTTGACGTTATTTGGAATGCCACTTACCGCTTCGTGGGCCAGGAATCAAGTAAGACGGGTCATGTTCGGTCCCCCAGGGCCCGGCGCTATTGGTGCCGAGCAACGGCCCGGCGCAAGATGTCAGATCTTGTTAGAACAATGCGGTTGAATTTGGACTACAATAAACCGACACATAGTACGATATACGTTTGTAGTTTTCCGTCAAAAGGTGAGGCGTCTGTCCTAAACTCAGGGCAGAGCTTTCGAGGCTGGAGGGAAATACTTAAGCCGTTTGACCTGTGTAATTGATTTATCCAGCTGACATGCATCGACAGAAGGACGGCTTGACCCCTGCATGACAATTTATGGTCGTGCAGTTACTCGACATATGCCTACATATTAGCATTAGCTATTGTTCGACATATTTTAATATTCGCTGATCATTCAAACTTGTTGAAAAACGTGACGTGCTGGATGGCTGGAGGAGCTTGTCCTACCAAGTACCATTTTATGTAGAATATTACAGTACTACGACCATTTGATCTTTGACTAAACCGCAAGAGGTAACCGAATG